AAAAAAAAAAAAAAAAAAAAAAAAGGCAGCGGCTCCAAAGCTGACAGGCCACCCCTCAGAGCTGCTCTGTCTGGAGCACCTTGTACTCAGAACTTCGCACTGTCACTCTCAGCCTCCATGGCTTTTAAGGGCTCAAGCACCGTTTCCCGAGATTAGGGACCCGACTATCCTCACACCCAAAGGGACACTCACTCTGCCAAAGGTTTAAACCCTCAGGAGACCATCAGCCTCTCCCGGAGCCACAGCTGGCTCTAGGCCGCCCCCGTGGAGAGTTGCACAGGCCAGAGGCCATGATCCCAACTTGTGCCCGGGAGAGAAAGGCCCCACTCTGCCCAGCAGGGGCCACGCGTCCTGGGCGACCATGAGCCGGGATGTCCTGGCCAGACCCTGTTGAGTCCTCAGGCCGTGAGGCCCTTGGTCCTCCCAGGAAAAGGAGGCCACGGGGCCATCCTGAGAGTCAGGGAGCCTGAGGGGCCCCTCCGGCGACTCCCTCCAGCCTCTTCCCATCATGCCTCTGTCCCTTCCTGCCCCAGTAAATTTGGGGCTGCTTCAAACTCAACAGTTTTGGAGGGGCCTCGAGCTCCACTTTCTTCCTGGCTCTTCTGTCTGCAAAGTGCTGTCGTCGTGCAAAGCCCTTCACTCAGGCAAGCCCCTCAGCCACCCCCCTGAGGACGCGCACTGCGGCGCTGTCTCTGCACGGGCGGCTGAAGCCCCGAAGTCGGCTAACCCTGACAGCCTGACCGACAGGCAGCATCGCGCCTTGGCCCTTAGGACGCACGGTTCAGCTGAATGGGCTCTTTGTATAAATAAGAGCTTCTGCCCCACCTTCAGACGTGTTTAGTAACGATCATAATCAGGGTAAGAACCACTTTCAAATCTCGGGGCCTTCTTAACAAAAGTCTTTGGTAACCCAAGCGTAACAGGCATCACTCACGAATCTGCTTTGACTTCACTCCTCGGCCCCCACTTGCCACCCGCCTGCTCCCCAGCACCCCGTTTGCCCACTGCCCGTGGCTCAGCCTACACTTGACCCCCAGGAGCCGTCTCCCCTTGGGGCCGAGGAATCCTGTGTCCTTTTCCTGGAAGGACATAGCCTTCCCACTGTCCACGGCCCTCCTCTTCTCCCGCCGTACAGAGCTCACCTTCGATGGCCTCTTTGTGCCTGGTTCACAGAGGCCAGAGCCCGAAGTCGGGGCTCAGACACTTCCACAGGTGAGCAGGGCATCTGAGTGGCCCCCTTCGGACAGGTCAGGGACCCCAGGCCACGTCCAGCACAGACCCCTCAGCTACCAGCCAGCAGAGAGGACTCGTGGGGCAGGGGTGGGGGAAGTAACCTCCATGATAGACTTGGAGCTGTCGCTTAACTGGGGACGTGGCTGCTTGCAGTCAGGTTGGGCAGGGCAAGGGGGTTGGTGAACAGAACCTTCCGGACACATCAACCCAGAGAAAAGCCGAGCCTCTCGGGCTCTTTCCTTGGAGCGGCCGCCCACGGCAGAAAGCCACCGGGGTCTCTAGCATCTCCCAGTGGCCCAGGCCTTGACCGTGCTCAGCGCCAAGGCAAGATGCGGCCGGGCTCCCAGAGACTCTCCCGAGCCCCACGCTTGCCCTCCCCGGTGTGCCACACGGCCTGAGGATGGTTCCAGAGTAAACCATGCCGCCTTTGAGCCCACCCTCTCCCCTGGAAAGGGTAATCAGAATTAGTGGCTGCCCGTAATAACAAAACCCACAAAAGAGAAGCCAGAGGGGTCTGGAGTCTTGTTCTGAGTGCTTTCCCAGGATGCCGTGCTGACTGGCCAGCTGATGGTGCCCCCACCATCCTATGCAGCTAATAGCTCCTGTGTTTCCTGAGAAAGGCCTGGAACATTCCACCCAAGCCCCCTCGTGAACCTCTGTCAGTCAGCCCGGCAGGGGCCCAACAACACGCTTAGCGCCCCCGGCTCTTGCGAAGCCAGCCCAGAGCCGCTGCTCCAGGAGCACAGGGGCCCCTGGTGGCGTGCAGCGCCCCCGCTCCGGAACGCTGACCCTGACCGCAGTTGTTCAGAGGGTCGCCCGATCCCTCGCGGTCACGTCCTGGCTCCATATCCTATTTATTATTTGTGCCGGACAGACTCTTCTCCCTCGTTACTTTGCAGCGTGAGCTCGAGTTTGCTGTGCGTTACGCAACTAGAGAGAACACGTTGGCCTGTTTCAGTGTGGCTTGTACGAATAGCTTTATTCTCATTTTAAACAGGTTCTCGACTTTTCTGAGGTTTGGGGGTGGGGGGAGTTTTCCAAAACCGCAGATGACAATGCAGAACAACCATTGAAGGTGGTAGCCCCAGCCAGGGGACTGAATGACACTAGAAATC